TCTGGTGCAGTAAAGATTCTCACTGATGGTAATTATATTGATCCCAAAGGAAGGAGAGCATAGATTATTTCGTTTTCATATCCATGAAACTTTAGTTTTCATATCCATGGTGTTTGACACTCAGCATACCCATCCACTCAATTCCTGCCATGAAATTAAATTTCGTTTGAATGCAATGTTTGTTTGGTAATTAAGATTGGCATTAAGATTATTTTCCCCATTTGCAGATTACACTGTGCATAAGAACCATTCAGACCTAATCACAGCATGGAATTTGATAAAGATAAATGATTCCCAATGAAGCTCCCTTAAATTTATGATAGGCAACAGAGGCCCTTCTCTTGGTGCTCCTGCTTTCAAAAGTGAGAGATTTGAGAGAGGGCCTCCTTAGTGGTAGCACGACTAATGGAATGCTGTCCCCAGAATAGTTCAGGAGGCACCAACATTACCATGAATTAGGAATCAGATCTAAACCTTATCCACCAGGACTTTTAATGAAGAACCTGTTATTTTGATCTTACCTCCTTCTTTTGTTCTGTTGCTTTTATGAGTATGTTGTTGACCTTTATTTTGATTTTGCTATTTTATATACACTTTGTGAGCAACTTTGGAGACTGTAATATTGTACAGTTTGGGGGTAGCCATGATTATTTAAAGTGGTATGATACTGCTTTAAATGTTATGTGCATATGTGGCCTCAGTCTCCCCATCTGCAATATGGGTGATGATGATACTAATAATAATGATGATGATGATGATGGCTCTCATCACAGGGTTGTAGTGAGGATTACAACTAGATAATGTATGGAAAGCAGTTTGAACACTTGTAAGTGCTATAAAAATGCTTATTACTTAATTGCGCAAACATTTCTGTGATATATCCAGAACTGGTATTAAGTGCTAATGAGGAATAAAAGGTGACAGGTCAATGGATGTGGTACAGACTATCCCTTTTATGCACTTTTCAAGTAGTTGATTATAGGGGAAATTGGCAATCTGAGGCACCTTTAACATTTTCCCTCCCACAGCTTCCTTCAAACTTGTTGACATCTATTAAAGCCATGGACTTTTTCTGATTGGGCAAATTTCCACTGGTAGTCTGTTCATTTCTAGCTCAGTTGCTATAATGATGACAAGAAAATTGCAGTACTCCTAAGGCATGCATCTCGTGCGTGTGTGTGTGTGTGTGTGTGTGTGTGTGTGTGTGTGTGTATTCATTCCCCTTTGGGCCAGAGGTTTCCATACTTTCTACACTAATGTGCTTCCTTCTCTGAAATGTTGTTGCATTTAATTACATGAGAAAAGTCATAAAGGGCTGGGCTGCTGCTTTCATTATACAGCCCAAATAATTTGGGAATTTAAAAGGTGGCACACATACACCTTCTCTGAAAATATCACGGTTTGCTAAAGAGTGGTGCCCTATCATCTTTCTTTCCCTGGACAGCCGGGGGGGGTGTGTGTCAAATATATGGTTCAATGACCTAACACAATTAACTAGAGTTATATGGAGTTGAGATACGTAATAGAATATAGAACTGTAGAGTTGTAAGGGATCCCGAGGATCAACCCCCTGCAATGCAGCAATATGCAGCTGTCCCATGCAGGGATCAAGTCTGCAACCTTGGACAGTATTAACACCATGCTGTAACCAACTGAGCTATTACAGATCCTGGGTTAGATTTCAAGCCTTCTATTTGGATTCTAATGACTTAGACTGGGGTCACTAACCCCCAGCCCAGGTGGCCTAATTTGGTCCCCCATAAAATTTTCTCTTCCACCCCTTAAAGACCCTGGACCAGAGGTAGGCAGACAGGTATCTGAGGGGGATACAAATCACTCCTTTATTGGCTGTCAGATAGATTGTTTGATGAATGGGGCCACTCTCCATGGCTGACCTGCACACATCAGGTGAGAAGGGGCTGTGTGTCCTGTGTGTGTATGCAAAAGTGTGCATGGGAGAGGGGCGGCCATGTACTCACCACTGACTAGTAGCCCCTGGAGAGCTGGCCAAGGATAAATGGGGCCCTTGCTGATTTAGACTGTGTTGTACAGCTGTGCTTTTTCAGATGGTGGGTAAAGGACTGCCTTTGCCCATTTTCAGGTGGACCTTAGTGTCACACTCCACACTTCCTGCCTGGTCTCCAGCTAAGCAAGGAAACATCTCTTGACTGACATAAAGGCCTCCACCTCAAAAGAACAACCAAGCGTCAGGCAATGGTGTGGGAACTGGAGAACCTGTGTGTGTGTGTAGCCATGCAGGGGGTAGAAGGAAAAGAAGGTGGAACTGAGTGAAAGTGACTGGGAGATGGAGGGTATTTTGGTGGGGGATGGAAGTTCTGTGGCAAAGAATTCAATGATTTCAAAGGGGGGGATTAGATATCAATTTACTGACAAAAAATTTGTCAGTAACTGCCAACTAACTGTGCCATTGAGTGGCCATGCTCCAACTCCACCTGCTGCCATTTTGTGACTAGGGATCCTCCATAATTTTCAGCCCTCTCACGTGGCTCTGGAGGTCAAAAGCTGTACGGCAAAAAGCAAAGACATTTATCAAAACTATCCCCCACAACAAGAAAATCCAATAGAATAATTCTTCATTAAAAACATTTCAGTGTCTGTTGTCCCTTTTTTTCTTCCTAACATTAATCCTAAACATACTTAACTTGGCAATAATAGCCCATTCACATAGCCATGGTTGCCATGTTGGTTTCATCATGAAAAAAACAACAACAAAACCAAGGGCATGTCCTGACCTGCTGTAAGCAATGGTGACAACAGGCAGCTTTCTATATCCTCCCTGCCCCTCTCCAGAGGGCCATTGGCAGCAAACACACACACACACACACACACACAGAGAGAGAGAGAGAGAGAGAGAGAGAGAGAGAGAGAGAGAGATCGCAGTCATTAAATTCATCAGGAGATCTAAACAAAGCTCCCACATATACAGCCCTCTGTACCTCTCTTTCCTTGCCGTGGCTCCAGCCCAGAAGTTGCATATTTGTATTCCCTTGGGGCGAACTGCTTTTATGGGCTTCACGACAGGCAAAAAAAGCAACAGGTGTTTCCTGTTCACCTTTTAAACGTCTGACAATTCTTCTAAGAATAATGTTTCCTGTTGAAAGGTAGTGAACTTAGTGGCAACGTGCCTGGAGGCGGACTGATGTGTGCATTAGAGAGAGTGAGGAGATGTGTGTGCATAGGGATATATAAATGACAGAGCTCCTTATTCAGCTCTGTCCTTTCACATTGTTAAGGTTTCTCCAAATATATGAGGAAAGTTTCCTTATTTTGGCATCTATCAGTCTTACTTCTGCCTTGTTATCCTCTGGGATACTGGCACAGTAACAAAAAGGGTCAGCTTGAGAAAATGATCAAGGTTAATCGCCAATTTAGCCTGGGCAACAGCTCTGGCTTTCTGAGAAGATGTTCAAACAGGTAGAGCAGTCACTGGCATTCAAGGCAGGGTGAATGATTATTATGGGAGGCAGTTTGAAGAGAGAGGCCTTTTTTTCTAAAGGCTAATACAGATTGGATGCCACCAATGAAAATTCCAAAGTAGAGCACAATGGCAGGGAATTTCCAATATACACATTCCTGAATTTTATGAAGATTCCCAAATCAATTTTTAAGATGTAATGTCATTTTCTAGTTGGTTAATAATAATAATAATAATAATAATAATAATAATAATAATTTTATTATTTGTAGCCCGCCCATCTGGCAGGGTTTCCCCAGCCACTCTGGGCAACTTCCAACAAAGATTAAAAATACATTAAAATGTCACACATTAAAAACTTCCCTGAACAGGGCTGCCTTCAGATGTCAGATAATTGTTTATCTCTTTGATATCTGATGGGAGGGTGTTCCACAGGGTGGGTGCCACTACCAAGAAGGCCCTCTGCCTGGTTCCCTGTAGCTTTGCTTCTCGCAGTGAGGGAGCTGCCAGAAGGCCCTCGGCACTGGACCTCAGTGTCTGGGCAGAACAATGGGGATGGAGACGCTCCTTCAGGTATACTGGGCCGAGGCCATTTAGGGCTTTAAAGGTCAACACCAACACTTTGAATTGTGCTCAGAAGCGTACTAAGAGCCAATGTAGGTCTTTCAGGACTGGTGTTATATGGTCTTGGCAGCCACTCCCAGTCACCAGTCTTAGCTGCCACATTCTGGATTAGTTGTAGTTTCCGAGTCACCTTCAAAGGTAGTCCCACGTAGAGCGCATTGCAGTAGTCCAAGTGGGAGATAACTAGAGCACATACCACTCTGGTGAGACAGTCCGCGGGCAGGTAGGGTCTCAGCCTGTGTACCAGATGGAACTGGTAGACAGCTGCCCTGGATACAGAATTGACCTGCCCCTCTATGGACAGCTGTGAGTCCAAAATGACTCCCAGGCTATGCACCTGGTCCTTCGGGGCACAGTTACCCCATTCAGGACCAGGGAGCCCTCCACACCAGTCCGCCCCCTGTCCCCCAAGAACAGTACTTCTGCCTTGACAGGATTCAACCTCAATCCATTAGCCACCATCCATCCTCCAACTGCCTCCAGGCACTCACACAGGACCTTCACTGCCTTCACTGGTTCCAATTTAAAAGAGAGGTAGAGCTGGGTATCATCTGCATATTGATGGACTTCTTCCATCAATATTGATATTCTTCTTCTTCTTCTTCTTTTCTGTTCTTTTCTTTTTCTTCTTCTTCTCCTTTTGGTGATCCTGACCTGAACTTGGTGCCATTCTTCCCTGGACTGAACAAAGTAGGTAGGAACCTCTAGCTTCTTCAAAATACAACAACCATAGTTCAGCATTCTTTTTCAACATGAGACAGAATGTTATGGTTTGAAAGATCACCTTCATCCGATCATGTCAATGAATTTATATCAACTCAAGGACAGGAACAACCAGGTACATAAAAAATGACTGAAATACTCCATTGCAATCATAGAATTGTAGAACTGGAAGGGATCTCAATGGTTATCTAAGCCAGGCCCCTGCAATGCAGGAATCTTTTGCCCAACGTGGGTCTCAAACACACGACCCTGAGATTAAAAGTCTCATGCTCTACTGACTGACCTAAAAAGTTCATTAGCAGAGGGATGTACACAAGAAACCAAAAAAGGATGTAAAAATATCTCACTTTAATTCTGATTAATAATTTGTATGATTTTGAAACATTTTCCATTTTTTGCTGTTGTGACAAAATATTCTCATTCGCCAAGGACAAAAGGCTTCACCCTTCAGTTTCATTGAAAATTCACCTTCCACCAATTTACATTCCTGGCGGGAAACTCTATTATAGAATATTACAAATACAACCAAAGAGAAAGACATATTTTCTCTCCAATGCATCATTCTTAGATTATGTTTCATACTTATTGCATCTGCATAGTGTTTCCTATTGATAAAATCCAAATATTTTGCATGATTACATGGCTGTTAACATTCATAGTGCCTCTGGCAACACTTCTAATTTAACAAAGTGAATTACTTTCTTTTTCTAATAATTCATCAGTGTGCTGTATATGAAGCAGAATATTTCCACCATGGTTGCCTAGCTGTTACTATGCTAAAGCATTAGCAATTCAATATGTGCAGTTCCTTAAATTGTTACTCTGTTGGAGAGAGAAAAACGCAGCTTTAAAAAAATAATTAGGCAAATGCCCATGTTCTCCGTCTCCAGACACATTCCAGCTGTTCACAATACAAATTTAGACTGTAAAACTCCCATCTTTTAAAAGTCTCCAGAAAAACATAGCTGTAGCACTTTAAATGCAATATCTGTAATTGGCATTTTGATGAGAATTAATAAGGCAGTAAATTTTTGTTAATGAGATACCTGGTTCATTGCTAAAATACAAATTTGTTGCATTTTATTATGACTTTCTGTATCAGCTAGCATAGCACATGGAAGAAATCTTGGGAGAAAGCCATTTTTCTCTCAAAATAGATGGAATTTGATCATCAGTATTACCAGCCTCCCACATAGAGAACACAACACAGCTTACTCCTGGCACCTCTGCATCAAAGGATCTTGCCATGTTTTGATGTTGTTGACAGTACAGTTTTCATTTTCGAAGCACCACTGGTAGTTTTTCCAGAGGACAGCACTATGGATCACCTTATAAATCAATAGACACTTTTCAGTCATCCATGTTTCATTCACTTCTTCAAATTCATCTTTTCTGTAATATGTATGTCAAGAAAGCCATGTTGGTTGACATCAAAGACTAATCTGAGGATTTTATTCGTGCATGCATTTCGGTTGGGTTTTTTAATGATACTATCATTCAGCCAAAGCAAAGCAATTCAACTTAAAACACTAAACTTCAAGGGAAACAGATCTTAAAATGTTATTAAAATCTTAAAATAAAAAACGCATACATACAGACATGGAACAAAACACAGCAGACACCTTACGAAATGAGGCTTTTAATGGCTTTCCTGAAAGATCTGGTCTAGCCAGGTCCTCTAAAGCCATCTTTCCCTAAATAGAGTGCTATCATGGAAAAGGCCCTGATCTTCTCTGTCATAAGCCTACCTTCTGAATATGGTGGCATCTCTCACCCTCTCTAAGCCTTGCTGCAGGATGAACAGGAGAAGGTGCTTCTTCCAGAATTATGTTTCAGAAGAAGTAAAACAGGGAATTCTCTTTTTCTCTGCATTTGTGTTTGTCTGTGTTGGTTGAAAAAAAAAAGGTCAAAAAAATTCAAAGTAAAAGGCATCAAATATTAAATATCCAACCTGTTATAGTCTCCACAAAGGCTATAATAATTATTGTTGTCTCTGTGTGCATTAGAACTCTCTGACATCTCTGCTTGAGATGCAATCATAGGAGAATATACTGGTAATGTTACAACATAATGACAATCAGTTGCTGTAAATGTGCAACCACAGATAACAGCATTCACTAAGGTCAGGAAAACATGAGACAGAAAAGGATCACCCAGTTTAAGCAAACAGCACCTTTGGCAGGCCTCAGCTTGACAATAGTTCAAGCGTTTGATAGTTTGTATGCTGCAAAAAATTATAGAAGCAATCCCTTAGGGTATTTTTTATATATAAGTCATATGGGTGTGGCTCTGACTAAAACCTCCCTCATCCATGATCTGATTGTGGATGAGGAGGCTGATCTGATCTGTATCACTGAGACCTGGATGGGAGAGGAAGGATAGAGACATCTTACTCAGCTGTGCCCACCTGGGTATTCAGTGCAGTGTCAGGTCAGGCTTGAGAGTCAAGAAGGGGGAGTTGCTGTGGTCTTTACAATCTCTCTCTCTCTCTCCAGGCCAGGTTGGGGCAAGGTGGTTTGTGTTAAGTTGTGGGCGAACATATCAGACGACACAGTGATTCTTCCAAAGCAGCTCTTTATTTGTAAGCTGGAACAGAACTGAACTGAGGAGCTCAGTCAGCCTGCTTATATAGAGCTCCACTAGATTGCAACAGTAACCATTTTCTGTAACTAGCCAATCACTGAACGTCACTTTTGATCCTTCATTTGCATACAAACTATCCAATCACTGAACGTCACTTTCGATCCTTCATTTGCATAACTATCTACAGTATCCCCCTGCTGGCCCAGGGTGAGAACTTCAGTACATAACAGTTTGAGCATATAATGCCAATCCTGTCCTGACTTCACTGGCTGACACTTAGTTTCTAGGCCCAATTCAAAGTGCTGGTTTTGACTTATAAAGCTTTAGTTAATTTGAATCATGAAGGTCCTTCTTCGTATGCCTCCTCTGCAAGAGGTCCAGAGAATGGGTCTTTTCTGCAGTGGCTCCCCATTTGTGGAATGATCTCCCCAGGGCAACTCACCTGGCCCCTTCATTACATGTCTTTAGGCGCCAGGAAAAAGCATGTCTCTTCTTCCAGGCCTTTATTTTGCTTTGGATATATACTGAATGTGTTACTTTTGTTATAAGAATCCCAAGGTCTCAAATACCGAATAAATGTTCATAAGTGTACAAGGCAAACACACATACATAAGTATATAAACCACATGTCTAAAATAATACAGGATAGCAATCCTGAAGCCATTTTGACTCTCCCAAATTGACCTCAAATATTTCTCTTCAAGGAGGAAGGAAATGGGAAAAGCTTTCCAATTGTCATTGGACTGTAGGGGCTTATACCTCCCTGCAAATGCAATCTGGCAAGTATATGTTAAGCTGAGCAAACTATCAATATGTGTAAGAGATTCAGTAACTAAAATATTTACCATCTCAAAGGAATGGCCAGGCTACCCAGAAAATGCAATCAAGTAAGGCATTATCAGGTATCCTGGCAGACAGGAGAGAAGCAACACTCTCAAATTTCTGTCGGAGACCGCCTCCTTCTGTGATGTATGTATGATGTTTTGGTGGGTGGTCTTGGGCTACAGGGTGGGCAATTTCAAAATTCTTTATGGGGCCTTGTGCACCATTATTCAGGGTCTCTCCAACTCCTTACAAGGAGAGAAGTGAACTCTGTTGCAACAGAAAAATAAAGATCTGCTTTGCTCCATGGATCTTGCCTCCATCCATCCATCCATCCATCCATTTGGACTTTGGGGACTCAGTCCCTTGGGGAGTTCGGCAGCAAAAGCCAAACCCACCTTTTTTTTCTATAATACTTTCTTCAATAATGTTTTATTCTGGATTGTTTTATTTGATGTTTTATGTAGCTTATGAGAGATTTTTCTTTAAAATATGAAGCATATAGAAATTATTATTATTACTGCTACGGAAAATGACCAGTCTTCCCATCATTGCATTATTCCCCTGAGAGCATGAAAATATATTCAACACACAGGTAATTCCACCCCCATCCCACCCTTCCCCTCTGTCATGGTATACTTTATATCCTTCATCATTGTTGCAAACCATATATACACAATATATAGTTGTATAATTAATCAAGGATACATGTTTCTTCCTTGTGAAATACACAATTAATTTCTGAACATTTTTAGTTCACCTTCGCACTTTTCCCTCCATTCATTATCTGCCATGCGTTTGCTCTAATTATTGAGAATGGTTGGGAAGGGTGAGAGAGTCACTCACATATCACATTTTGCTCACCATCTTTCTTCATGCCCGTCTGATTTAGTTACACTTGCTCAGGCTTTTTTGGCTGCCCTTTGAACCACAGCGAATAACTCACAGCCTCAAGGAAGGCATGTTTCAGAACAAAGGAGCTGTGGTGCCACCCTGAGGTAAAAAATATAAATAGTGGAAATGCACATCAAGGCAAATCTTTGAAGGGAAAGGTGGGGATGAATCCTGACCTTTTAAAAGACAGGCGAATAAAGCACACAATAGCAAGGTAGGGGATAATCTAGACAATGAGTCAACCAATTGGTATTCCTTTCAACAAGTTGACTGTATCAGAGACATAAAGAGTATTGTGGGTGTTTTTCAAAAAAACAAAACCCAAAGAAGCTGTCTAGGGCATGCTGAATCTTAGAAGCTCCCCCTTCACTCATTTTCCCAGTTCAGATGTTTGGTTTCTAAGATACAGAGTAGATAAGGGGACTCCTGTGTCCCCCTGCGCATGAAAAAGCAGTTTGGAGAAAAATTACCAGAAGGGAATTAAGCAGCTACTCTGCCCTCACTGTTCTTTTAGTAACTTGCATACCGCCTCAGAATGCTTTGGATTAAAAACAGAAAGGAACAGGGGGAGAATCTCATAGCTCTGCTTAACATGTAGTTTAAGCTTTCATGCCATGCCCTACTAGAACAGAGGCAATCTCCTGCCATGGGAATATATGTGACTTCATAAACACAGTGGTGCTCCATCACACACTGCTGTTTTGTGTAATATGATCTTGAGAACAAAGTTCCAGTCCTCCTGAAGCAGGTTATAACTACAGCAAACCAGCAGGCTCTGTAACAAAACTTTTGTACTAGAAGAATCAACATTAGCTGTGAATCAACACTCTGTTTTATGTGGATGTGCATTCACTTGTACTGAGTTCAAAGGAATTTAAATGTATGCAGCTGCTCCTAAACTTTATATCCTATTTTGCTGCTGCCAACCCAGCTACAGCGGCATCTCAGGTTAAGAGCTTAATTCGTTCCGGAGGTCCGTTCTTAACCTGAA